AAACCTATAATTGTGTGTGTGTGTGTGTGTGTGTGTGTGTGTGTGTGTGTGTGTGTGTGTGTGTGTGTGTCAAGAACACTCAAATGAAACATTTAAATGACAACATTTATTGAAAAACATGCATTCTCCTTAGGGGCAAGCTGCAAGTTTCAAGAAGAACTGCCAAAAGAAAGAAACAGCTTTGTTTAGCTAGCTAGCCCATATAAAGTGCAGTTTCAGACTTTCCTCACTGTATGGAGACAAACAAAACAATGACCCATGTAAGCAGCGAGCCATTGATATTGGCAGCATTTTCAGACATGCCCTCATGCCTGTATGTGAATGTGAATGTGGATGAATGATGACAATTGAGGTCATTTTTGAGGTTTGTTTCAGAATGTTTTTAACCAAATCACTGTTATGTGCAGGTGCATATAAATATCTAACTATACGAATATTTGCAGAATGTATTACTGAAAAAGACAGTGGGACAGTGTTTATTCTAAAGGACGATAGTGCGCAGCAACAGCTGCCACCTCATAATGCTTTCATTTGATGTAATCCATGTAAATCCTGTCCATTAATATCTGAATGTTGATGTCCTCTCTCAACAAATTGTACCCTCTTGTAATAACCAGCCAATTAAAATAATAATAATAATACTAATCAATACAATTGATGCTAGTAATGTGCTGATTCTCCCTCGCTCGTCACACATTTTAATGAAATTTTTTTTATTTATGATTATGAAAACAAAATTTAATTTTAATGTGTATATGAATCAATCTGATAGAACGGGGGAATAAATAAATAATAACAATATTAAACCATATTAAATTGACAAAAATTCTCATTTATGCTCTACAGATGGGTGACCTTTTTTTTTTTATTGCAAAGAACGGAAACATACAAAGAATAAGCATACATCACATAATATCAACCACAAAAATAAAATGGAAACAAATCACAAAAAGAATAAAATAAAAATAAAGATAAGGATAAGAGGGCCATCATCTAAACATGATTACATGAAGAGATCAAAGGCAGAGCAAATCCTAACAGTCCTTATAGCTTTCTTATTAGTAGATACTGAAATTACATTCAAATAATTTTCCATTTCTTTTAGAAAGACAGAGAAGACAGGTTTACAGGTGGAAAATTTGCTTTTGTGAATGTGAAATTTGCTTAGGAAAAAAAATAAATTAATAACAAAACAGATATTTTCGTTTGAGGGGTCGGAGTCATAATACCCAAATATAATGTTTTTCATATGTACTGAGAAGCCTGGCAAAATCTTACACTTGACAAACACACCAATATCATCCCAAAACTTCTGAGTGTAGCGACATGACCAAAATAAGTGTACCACAGTTTCTTTAGAATTCGAACAAAAAGAGCATGTAAGCTCAATGTCAAATTTAAATCTTTGTATAAACTTCTTTACAGAGTAGAACCTGTGTATGAGCTTAAAAGAAATTTCTTTCACTTTGTTTGTGAGAAAGAATTTTTGCTGTAGAGACCAGATTTTTTTCCAATTAAGGTTAACACAAATTATTCCAAAAGGAAATCACAGGTGGAACAGAAATCAGATTCTTAAGAAATAAAGATCGTATTTGATCATTTTTGGCTTTCGACTCAGAGAAACAAATTTGACCAACAGGAGTATCACAAGGTTTAGGAAAGGAAGCAGTAGATACTGATAAATAATTACAGTTTTTAAAAAGCATACATAAACCAGAGGGGATAGCTCCCAAAACTGTAGCAAATTCTTTTGGCGTTATTGGTATTTGGTATTTGGAAAGAAATTCTGAGTACCTGAACAAAAGACCTGGCTCATTAAACAACTGTTTCACAAATAATAAACCATTACTGAACCAACTATCATAAAACAGAGACTTATTCTTGAATAAAAAGTTCTTATTGTTCCAAATAAAACATCTTTGTGGTGAAAAGTTATGCTACAGATGTGTGACCTCAGAAACCCCAGATGCTCTCCATGTGTCAGAGCACGTGTGTGCGCTGAGCTTTATAGAGCACATGCACGCTCATGCTGCAGGGACTAAACCATTCTAGTCCACAACATGGGTGACAGCAGTCTACGTATGTACATGTATTTATAGGTTTTCCACAGTGACATGATAGCTGATCCTTGTTGGCATTACTTGAACAAGTTGTGATGGGAAAATAACAATATGTTGTAATATGTTAATATGTATCAATTTGCATATTACTGTTGTAGCCCATGCTGAGATGACGCATTGTTTCCTATATATTCAAAACACATAAAAATGTATTCTACAAGTTGTGTGAAATACACATTAAATGATTGTGTTTTTAATTTCTAAATTGAAATTAATGATATAGTCAAAATCACAATATTTGAAATAAATAAATAAATACTTTGAAAACATTTTTGAAAATAATGATTTTATGTAGCCTATTTTCACATGTGTAAATTGTCGCTCATACATTTTCGCATGCATTAAACTAACATAAATAAAAAGAAAGAACACAAAGTTATTTTTATTTAAAAACAAATGATCACACCATTTCTTATATTCGCTTCACCTTACCACGTTAACAACACTGATTTAACGTAACTTAAAGCCACAAGAGGCGTACCGTGTACGTGTGTCCTCATAGGTCAGGAATCCCCCCTGTACAGGAAAGTGGGACGATCCAGTCAAGTTCTCACTTCATTCAGTTCAGACTAGGAGCTCGTTGTTGATTGAATCCCGTTACCCCACTGAATGAAAACAAATGCAGATGTCAACGAATATTTAAGCGATGCGAAACTTCCTCAAGCTCTAGAAATATGAACGCGGAAGGTGTTTCCAAGCGCACGCACAAAACGTGAGGAGGCGCGATGGATGCAAAGGACAGAGAGCGGCAGCGGACACGGAGCGCTTGCAAAAGAACCGAAAGCGCCAGTGTCCTGCGCTCGCTCAGCGTCGACAACATAGACGATAATGAGGCAATGGCAGGCGACTCGGACCTGGTTAAACATGGCAGTCTTGAACAGCGACTCATCACACCGAGGTACAGCTTGCTCCGTGAAGTTGGCAGGGGCAGTTATGGCGTTGTGTACGAAGCCGTTGCCCGTAAATCAGGTGCGCGAGTGGCGGTGAAGAAGCTGCGCTGTGACGCGCCTGAGAACGTGGAGCTGGCGCTGGCGGAGTTTTGGGCTTTGACCAGTCTGGAGAAACGCCATGAGAATGTGGTGCAGCTGGAGGAGTGTGTGCTCCAGAGGAACGGGATGGCCCAGAAAATGAGCCATGGCAATAAGCGTTCAAAGCAGTATTTGAGGTTGGTCGAGACCTCTTTGAAAGGTGAGATGTTTTTATTCAAGCCCTGGCATTTTTCTGGAAGGTCAGCGGTGGGAGAATGCTTTGTCACGAGCTCAAACAGTGGCTTTTGTTTGTGACAGTTCACTCATTTGGTAGCAATGGCAAATTAGCCATTTAAAATCTAAGCAATGTCCATTTTTATAAGTTTTTCAAGTGTAATCTGAAACAAAACGGTGAGACTCCATTGTTTGGCAGTGAGTCATGTGGCTTTTCACCGATGACACCGGACGTCGATATTGCGCATGTCTGTGTTCTACATTAAGATTGTTTACATTTTATGTAAGAATGTGGCAAATGTCGGTCAGATTTGCTCCCCCCCACCCTCCTCTTGGTTATGAAACTCGTTGAGGTTGGAGGTGGGGAAGGTGCTGTGTTGGGGTCAAACCTTCTCCCCACCCGCTATACCAAGTTATAACAATGAAGGAAGTGTGTTTCCTTACATGATAGCTGTGTAAATTATCTTACAGATGAAAAAGAGACAATGGTGAATTAGTACAGACCATCGAGGCCAATGTAATGTCACTCATCTTAATGTCTTCTTTGTGTGACTGCTTTCACATGCGGATCTTCTGAATCATGTAGGTTTTTATGCTGTATGATATGCAAAGTGTTGCTAGAGGCATTTGCTTGAAAGCTGTTGGTCTGGTCTATATTTAGTGTAAATGGAAGTGAAAGTAGGAAGAGATGGTTAACTTTTATATGGGTGATTATGTTATGAAAAATGATTTTAAGTGTTTCAAACACCTAATCTCTGGTGGTAACAAGACAGTAGTGTCTGTCTTAAATATAGCTAAGTGGTTATAATAAATGGCAGTTACGTTGTAAAGTGTTGCTGTAGTGAACAGTTTTTTTATATCTGAAAATGTTAGGTTAAAAGCATTTGGTTATGTGGAAATAACTGAAAAAGTCTTGTGAGCAACCATGTCATGCGATGACAAAGTTCATAAAAACAATAATGGCAAATTAACTTAAACTTAGCACTTACATAGCATAAACACAAAGCAAATATCATACATTCAGACCAATAGGTGTTAGCATAAAGTTTAAAACCACTGGAATTAGAGCCAGCTAAAACCTAAACAAGAGTTTTAGTGCACTTCTGTGTATGAAAGGGAATCTGCTTTATCATCAATGATTTTCAAGCAATTTCCTTGATGTTAAAGTATTTTTCACCTGATTCACCTGTTTTTCAACCTGTGACATTCACAGTGTGTGTTATATTCACAGCAGATGAACAAACAAAACCAGGGAAAGTGATAAAAAAATAATGCTCATGAAAGCACTTATTAATTAGACTAAGGCATTTTGGCTTGTATCAGGGGATACAGCAGTGTTTGTTGTTCTTATGGGAGCTAGTCCAGTCCTGTGAGAAGAAAACTCAACAGTTCAAACTGGTTCCACAGCAATCCAGCCTCTGAAACTGATGACAAATCAATTTTTCTTTTAACTCTTTTTATTGCATTAACTCCTCGTTTTATCTGGTGCTCTCATTCTCTCACCTTTTAAAACATGTTTACTTGCTATAGCACACACATACATGTTATGTGGAAGGTTTTCCTATAGTTTTCCCTCCCATGCTGATGTGTTTTTCTCTTTTCCTAAACAGAAGGTTGGGGTGTGACACTTTTTTTTTTTTTTTTAAAGACTTTAGTTTACCTCAAAGTCCCTTTAAGGCAAGTTGGTACATTTGACGGACATATTTGTGAGCTATTTCCAGGCATGCATGTATAGCTCATGTCTAGTTGAATGGGGAAAGACCAAAACCTATGTAACAGTAGCATATTTCAAATCAGCAATGAAATTTGACAACAGTGGTTTCATAAATTGTGCTAATGTGCATTCATTCTATGGTAAACAAATTAATTTAAACTTCAAATCAGGATTTCCATTCCTGTAAATGACGATTGGTACTTTTAACTGTACGGCGAAACTACTGCTGCCATATTGTGTGGTACAGTTTATCTACAAATAGACCTTCTCTGCCTTACACAGTCTCTGGTTTACATTTATAGCCATTATTTAATAGTTGTTATTAGTCATGGGCAAGTGATTATTAGTGCAAAGGACATTCTCATTTTATTGAGTGTTTTATTTCATCAGTATTTTTGGTCTGTTTTTCCAAATAGACTGACTTGTAGGAGTGGCATTATCTCCAATTTTGATTTCATGCCTTCTTTAAACATCATAAATGTGACCCTGGACCACAAAACCAGTCTTAAGTCGCTGGGGTATATTTGTAGCAATAGCCAAAAATATACCATATATTGACCAATAGGGTCAAAATTATTGATTTTTCTTTTATGCCAAAAATCATTAGGATAAACATGATGTTCCATGAAGATATTTTGCACATTTCATACTGTAAGTATATTAATAATTTTTGATTAGTAATATGCATTGCTAAGAACTTCATTTGGACAACTTTAAGGGCGATTTTCTCAATATTTAGATTTTTTTGCACCCTCCGATTCCAGATTTTCAAATAGTTGTATCTCGGCCAAATATTGTCCTATCCATACAAACCATACATCAATGGAAAGCTTATTTATTCGGCTTTCAGATGATGTATAAATCTCAATTTCGAAAAATTTACCCTTATGACTGGTTTTGTGGTCCAGGGTCACAAATAATCTAACTAGGGTCAGTTAATGACAATAAGAAACAACTGGTAGTTTTTAACCATAGTATTTCTGTTGAAGGTGAAGTCATTTAGGATTTTTATTAGACAACAGTTTTGAGTAGGTTCTGTGAAATTTGCATTATAATCCTTACTTTTGAAATCATGGTTGTTGTTTATTAGTTTCATACCAATGCAAACATCTCCTAAATATTCAAATTTAGGTATTTTCATCTCTGCGTCTTTTTGTCTGTGTGTGTGTTATTTTAGGTGAGCGTGTATTGTCGTGTCCTGATGAGCCCTGCTACCTATGGTTTGTTATGGAGTTTTGCGAGGGAGGGGATCTGAATCAGTTCATCTTGTCGCGACGGCCCGATCCCCGAACCAATGCCAGCTTCATGATGCAGCTGAGTAGCGCTGTGGCGTTCCTGCATGAAAACAACATTGTTCACAGAGACCTTAAACCAGATAATATCCTCATCTCGGAGCGTTCTGGTGCACCTGTGTTGAAAGTGGCAGATTTCGGACTGAGCAAAGTGTGTGCTGGTCTGAGTGCCGGACTACGAGACTCAGAGGAGGGACGGGACAAAAACAAGAACAGTGTTAACATCAACAAGTTCTGGCTCTCATCGGCATGCGGCTCGGACTTTTACATGGCACCGGAGGTTTGGGAAGGACATTACACAGCCAAAGCAGACATTTTTGCTCTAGGCATTATCATCTGGGCCATGATAGAGAGAATCACATTCATTGACGCAGAGTCGAAACGGGAGCTTCTCGGGACGTATGTGCGGCAAGGTTCTGACATCGTCCCAGTTGGAGAGGCGCTTTTGGAGAACCCAAAGATGGTTTTGAGTATTCCCCAGCGCAGGCGCTCGCACATGCCCGAGGCACTCCGGAAACTTTTGCAGGACATGCTGGCCGTCAATCCTCAGGACCGACCAGATGCACTAGAACTGCACAGCAGGATGGGACAGGTCACTTGTGCAGCGTGAGCTCTGACCTGAATGCACACACAGGTAAGCCTTTGCCAGTGCAGTTTCCATAAATGTTGTTTTTTGACTTTGTTTTTGTGTGAAGGCTCATGTGTCCAGTAGCAGTAATCACAGCCGGTAACAGATAATGGTAGAATGGCAGAAATGCTGTGTATTCTTATGTTATCTCTTAAGGTCAAACACAGTATAAATTTGACAGCCGGTAGAAAATTTGTATTCATTTTTTCCTACTGCTTGCAATTAATTTCTTTGTTCTTATTACCATTTAGGCCTACTTGCTTATTACATTTTACTTATTTTGTCTAGTAATAGTTTTTGCTGTGATATTGAAATTTGTATTAAGAATTTTGAAATTTCAATGGCATCTAAAATTGTGACGTTATACATTCTTATTTCATGTCAAAATAACTATATTGTTATTGTAAAGTAAAATAATTCATGATATAAGATTTTGGCCATATCACCCACCCCTACATTTGTAATTTTTTTCCTTAAAGGGTTCATATGATGCTACTAAAAAGAACATTATTTGGTGTAATGAAATGTTTATGTGGTTTAAGGTTCAAAAAACATTATTTTCCACATACTGTACATTATTATTTCTCCTCTATGCCCCGCCTTTCTGAAACGGGTCGATTTTTACAAAGCTCATCTGTCTGAAAAGCGAGGTGTGCTCTGGTTGGCCGAATACCTCAAGCGTGTGACGGAAATGTTACGCCCCTTACCATACTGTGATGCCCTGTCTGGCCGGAGCGACGAGACAACAACTTGAAAACCCATTATAAATGAGGCTTTTGTTGCATCCCGTGGGGACATAATTATGGATTATAATGACTTATACTGTCTTTTTACGCGTTACGTTGCATCGCGCCGCGTAAACATAAAACCATGTCTGCATTAGTGATCGGAGAAATGACAAACAACAAGCCCTACTCTACACTGCCCAAAAAACTCGCTTTAAATATTTAAAAAATAAAATAAAAACTTTAAATATAAAAAAAGTACTTACAATCTGTGAGTCAGAACAGCCGGCATTGTAGTCTACTCTTCCAAGATCAGTAAACAGTCCTCCATAAAATGTGCTGAACACATCTGAATATTTGGGTTGAAGTGTTCTGGAACAGTGTTGTAAATACAACTTAACCACGGATTTCTAGTCGTGTCCATTTTTGGAAGGTCAAACAAAGTAGTTTAGCTTTCACAATTCTTTGCAACTTTACAGATCTTCTTTATGCACCAAGAGCTTGTAACACTCCAAAGAGAAAGGAAAAATTTAAATCGCATCATATGACCCCTTTAAAGGCATAACAATAGATTATGGAAAATGTTTAACCCTTTAAACGCACTATTTCATGAAGAGCACTTTACATTTAAAGGGGTCCTATTATGCTTTTGTTTTGGGGGTGTACTAGAACATGCTCTCATGCAATTTTTCACATAATTTACATTATTACAATACCTTTCTCCCCACCCTGGCACAAACGGCTCAATTAGTTCCAGGTTTGATGAAGGCCCGCCTTCCGAAAAATGAAATGTGTTGGGATTGGTTAGCTGTCCCAGTGCGTTGTGATTGGCAAACAGCTTAGATGGTGTTTCAGTACTGCCCCACCCCTTGCCAAAGCAGCAGGTTCCATCTGCTCCGGTATAGTTAAGGATGGTGTCAATACTGGCATACCAGTTTGAGCCAGATTCAAACCCCGAGAATATTGAACAAGAGGATCGTGCAGAACCTTTGCACACACAGATATTGCAAAACATATTAGAGTGGTGATGTTATTGTTGTTTTGTTTTTTTGCCTAAATCACGTTTTTGATACAATGTACAGATAAGTGCAACGGTAATATGTATTATATTTATTATTCTTTAATTCTAACGTTATAACATGAATTGCAGTGAAACTCTGCAGTGAAAAAAACAGCGTTTCTTCGACATGGCGAAAACTTGACGCTACAGCAGCACTTCTTCTTCATCGTTGTCTTGTCTGATGCACTCAACCAAGCGTTCTAACCACAACCTCGCCCCTCCCCACCCCACCCCCCCAACCATTTGAATTTCCGTAGGCGGGAATTATTTTAATGATATTCTAATGGGCCGGTTTGTGACATAAAAAAAACCCGGAAAACAATGTTGTAGTCCAAACGCACTGTTCGTTGTAGTTCTTGAAAAGGGATTTTTTTAAAACAAAATAACTCCCTTTGGAGTGGACTTTGAGATTTGTAATCTTTTTTTATGCCCAAACATACACACTGACTAAAATTCAAAAAGTGAAAAAAAAGATAGGACCCCTTTAAAGTGGGCATGTTAGTTTTTAGTATTTAAAAAAAAAATTTTTTTTTTTTTTTTTTTTAGCAAAGTAGTATAGATTTATAACATCCACTGACATTAAAAGTAGTGGTCAGCCGATATTTGCCATTTTTCAAATATCAGCATTGGCCGATAAGTTTTTCTGTTTGGCCGATGCGTTCGTGGCTGGACTTTTATTTTGACGGCGCTGAGAGCGGCAGCGCCTGAGCATACAAGTGCTCGCATTCTCCCCTCTTGTTCGCTGTCGTTAACAATTTTGTCCATGGACAGAAGTCTGTCTAATAATCTAATAATAAACTGTTAAACAAAGGAATTAAAATGTATACAAATAAGTATTATAACGATTGCTTTTATATTGTTAGTAATAGAAAGGCAAACATTATAATACTTTCTCGTTTGCCGTTAGCATTCAGCAAATACGCATTTATATAATTTAAACAAAGCTTTGAATTACTCATGAACATCTAATTTCAAAAACCTTGCAAACTTAGTCGAATCCAGCTGTGAGATCTTATGAAGTGTGCATTTGTATCCTGCACGATTTCAAATTATGCTGAGCTTCATGCTTTATCCCAATGTCATATTCATGTCATTTTCACCGTGTGCTGTATGTAAAATGAGTGATACCTTGGCTTTATTTAAAAAAATGTGATTCCCAATGCACACAAACTTCCCAGATTATTGAGTGTTGGTTACAGTGGTTACTTCCTTTTTAATTATATTTTTATTAAATATTTGTGAAAAATCACTCATTCAGTCATTTAAAGTATAAGCATTTTTATTTTACACGTTTATTTTTTAAATCCATTTTCAAATGATTTCAAATTTCTTAAATATTAAATAAAATTATATCGGCCATCGGCCACCCTGCTTTCCGGCTGTCAAAAAAACAATATCGGTCGACCACTAATTAAAAGTTATTACCAGCTACATATCAGCTAGAATTTCAATTTTGATGCAGTCTTAAAATGGTTATCATCATGTGTATTTCCACACAGCCATCCCCAGGGGTGTTGATTATTTTGATGAAGCTCATGCATGGCAAGTGGAAAACAATACGGCATGAGGCTTTAAACCCAAGTGAAATCATGCACACTTTTTTATGTACAATAAGTGGTATAAGTTCATTGACTTATCAGTATTTGATAACAGCTTCACTATCTTTCCCACAGCAGTGAAGGACAAATTGCCATTTATCACGTTATTGCTAGTGTCTTATTTGACCATATCAGTTTCACAGTGGTTTTGACAGCTCTGCTAGGACTCTATCATGATGTGATTTGTTTAATGACATGACTTTCAGAGAGCTTCTATTTGCATGCTATAACAGCCTCTTTTGTTTTTAAAAACGCATGCTGGAATAGCTGTTATACAACCGCACCCATTCACCTCCACCCCTCCTCTAACACTCCCCATCCCTTCTTCTCTCTCTATTTTCCATACTCTTTGCCCTGGGGGACAATGCTCATCAAGCAGACCAGGTTACTGGAAGTTCTTTCTAGCCCTGAAATGGAAAGATTTTTTGTTTTGACATGCCACACATAACAGACAGTTCCTTGCAAGGACCAGTTTAGTCTAAAAGTATTACAGCATTAGGGTACATAATTTCTGTCTTCTAATATCAATATATTATTGGCTAGTAATTGCATTTTTAGTTGTTTAAAGTAAATGTCTGTATAGTCAAATGTGTGACTACTTCGGGTACTAATCCTAATGACTTGTATTTTTTATTCTGTTTTAGGTTTTCCCTTTCCATTACAGACCAGAAGGGACCGCGTTGCTTGGGAAAACTGTGAATCTTCCATTGCTGATTTAATGTGAAGAGTACAAAGTACTCAACTTGAACACCAATACAAAGTTTGCTACAAAGAGATTTTCAACTGACCGTTCACTTTTTTTGTTTACAGTAGTAATTTAAATGAATCATTCATTAAGCCCAGAAGTGTCTAAATCAATCATCAGTTATGTCACTAAAAGTGAAGTAAAGCTAAAAAACGATGTTATGATGCAGTGAGTACAATCAAGCTAAAATAAAGAAAGCTCTTTATTAGTCTTACTGAGGGACTGGGACATAAAAATTCTGTTCTCAGAGCCTCCCTACTTGCTCGTCTTCTCAAAACAATCATTTGCCATAAAAACAGACAAAAAGAAAAGTATTTCAGTTATTCTATTAAGTTTTGTGAGCAGTGAAGCCTTCAGTTTTAGTAAGCAAGCAGTTCACAAATGTATTTATTAAATTTTTTTAAGGGGGGGGGGGATCCAAATAAAAACAATTTTTGCAGTACAAAGACACACAAGATACTAGATTACATTTCATCACATGTCACAAACCATGTCATTACTTGGGTCTTACTTGAGTTAAACATACAACTCCACAAAACTTGATCATCTGTATCTTTCCTCTGTCACAACAAAATAGCTGAAATCACGAGAATTAAAGAGGAACTTGGATTCTTCAGAACTTTTTTCTCCTTGAATGCAGATTTATCCTGGTGCCTTGAAGTCTAGTGATATAAGTGAGATTTCTTGTAGGTTTTTTTTTTTTTTTACAGCTTTATCTTTTAAACATGCAGTCTGTTTTGCAAGCTTTTAATATTTAAACACTTTACATATTAGGCATGTGCAGTTTAACCATTTAGGTGCTTGCTTTTACATTGTGTGAGATTATTTTTTGGCCAAAAAATGATTAATTCTGGTGCCCCATTTACAATGCTGCTGTCACTTATGAAAAAACAGTGTGAACATCCCTTCTGCACGGACACGCACATTTCTACTGTTTCATGGTTTAGTTGTTTTGGAATCTGGTAGATTAAAATATGCATTTGATTATGGTTGAAGGGAGCAGTTAAAGACTGTGTGAGTGTTATTTGTGTTTTATATAAGAAATACTACTAATGCATTTCTAATATAGAACAGATTTTTAGTTTTTTTTTTTTTTGGTTGATTTGTCAAAAATCAACCGAGTTTTTGTTAACCGACTATTTGATATTCTCAAAAACAGGATGGGAGCTCAATAGTGTACCATTGCTCTTTTTCATCTGTATCCTGAATGCTTCATAGAGAAGAAATTGGTGTGTGTTTGACTTCCAGGTGTGGTTTTGCCTGACAGTTTGTGTGTGCTGTAGTTCTACCTCTACACTCTTGTGTTTTAGTATCTAATTCACTAAATGAACTAGCAGTGCTTTCTGTTTTTGGTGAGACTAGTAATTAATGTTTTTCAGATGGAATTATTTATTTATTTTTTGTTGTTTTTTAAATAATAAATCTATAGTGTCAAGCTTTTGTAGTACTTTTAACTTCTTTTATTCCCATTCTCTGTTTGTGACTGCGTATTGCTGTCTGCTATGGAAGAAACTTGAGGCTTATGAGATCAATATCTTTTTTTTAAGATTAAATCAGCCTCAGGTTTAAGGTATTTTGATATATTCTGGACCGTGTGGTTCTTCACGTCACATGGGAACAAAAAGTTCCTTTTCTGTTACTTTTTATATGTTGAATTATGTTTTCATTTTGTCTGCTAATGCTTTTATTGGGAACATTCTTTTAAATCCACTTTCATTTTCCCGAATGGCAAGTTAAAGGATTGTATCTTTTACAAAGGTCAGTTAATCCTGGAGAAAGTTGGTAAATGTTTTTGCATTTGCTTTTTTGTCCACTTAATTATGACTCTTTTCAGTTTGAATGTTTCAGAGAGCATAAACACAGAGAAATTTGTCTTAGCAGTCATACGAACCACAGTATTAGACCGCACTTGCACTGAGGAGAGTGAACGGAGTTTAATAGAAGCTCACTTCCTGTTCTATAATCTCTTTTACTCGAATTCTGCGTTTTTCTTTGTGTTCCTTGTGCTCCAACTTTGACTGTACAGCGCACTCTATGCAACCTCTCCTTTTCTGACACTGTATGATGCTGCTCTGCTCAGACCTTGGCAATTTGTTGCGCTCATTTTCTGACTTTTTTTTTTTAATGGAGCATTTTCTGCTTTTTGTGTGCAAATGTTGGACTTTTTTGAACAGACTTTCCTTTGTGTAAAGCACACTAGAGCTGTTGGATGCTTCACTCGCTCGGGTGTCCATCCCTTATTGTTTTGTTGTTTTTGTTCAATAAACCATGTAAAACCATAACCTATGTGTGTTTTCAATGTTTGTTACACTGAAGAAATATTGTTACAGAAACCGGTTTCATAATTACAAAGAAATGGCAAGTAACACATTAAATTAAATGTGAAATTTTAAAGTAGAAAGTCATGTTACTGTGACCAGACGTTAGTTTGATTACCACAGTCCGACTACTAAATACTCGTTTTGATTTTTGTTGTCTGATACCCCACACATCCACACTACACTAATCAGTTCAGACAAGATAAATCCCCTCTTACAACAAAGCGATCACTCTCTATAGACTGCTGTTATCCATTGTATTAGGCAGTCATGCGGGAGAGGACATTTTGTTCTCGTACACCAGCACCCAAACACCTGCCTGGCTTTATAACCTGACAATAGCAGTTCTGCCAATTTTGGGCCTAACATTGTGTCAGATCTCACAATTAAAGCCATTGCCATGGTCATGAATAATGTTGAGTATATCAGCTGCACCAGAGGAGGAAATGATGTCTAATTGCTACATATGTAAGCTGGGAATAAGGTGACAGACAGAAAGAGTCTTGAAGAGCGTGATGAGACATGGGGGATGGGAATGTGCAGTCTATGGTGATGGTGTGTACTGGGGGAGGGTCTTCTGTAGGATAAAATTGTATGACGGAGTAGTCTTTGTACTCACTGACCCTGAGGATGGAGGGAAACAGCTTTGTAATCAGGTCATTACATAACACAATATGTGCATCTGAGGAATGACAATGTGGGGTTCTACTTTTCCAGGTTTTTAGGCAACATCCATACATTTCAGGGACTGGAATAGCACTTTCTTTGATAGTTTTGATCTGCATAGTTTTAGTGCTCACACTAGTATGAGTTTTTCTGAAAGCTTGCAGTAGAATGCAGCATCATGAGTGATGCATCACTGGATTTAGGTCACTCTAAATGGAGCATAAGTGCGTCAGAGTCAGTCAAAAAGGCTAGGTCATTAACAATTGGATGGATACTGTTGCAGAGATGAGCATCTTTACAATAATCTGAATTATTATATGCTTGTGAGTTTTGACTGTCCACATGCAATCACAGAACAAGATTCTAGTTTGTTGTTTCTAGTTGAAGTAGATTCTGTGCCTAAAATATGTTGTGCTCGAAAGCTGCTTTTTGTTTTAACTCTTGAAAATCTATGCAACACATTTCAATAAAAAAATTTACTTAAGGCGGGCCTACTTACTAACTTAAGATGTCTAAATAGCGACATTAAATATTTTCTGGGATATGAATGAACACAAACTCTGATTTAGGCTTCAGACAGAGAATGATCTATGTCTGCTATTTATGAGAGCTTTAAGCCTCAAAGGAGTGGTGAAACCAGCTTTATCACACCGCCCTGACTCATCACCTCTCTGTCTCAGATCTTGAAAGCTTCTACATAAAGGGAACAGATCATCTAATTAGCAAATGGAAACTGTACACTGCACTGTACTGTTAAATCAAATCTTAAATACAACCAAACATGCAGCCAGTGAATAATTAAAGAGAGCGCAAAAGAGAGTAAAAAATGTGTGATTTGTCAATTAAATGATGTGTAGATTATGTAAATTCAAAAATTCACATTGATGTTACAGTAAATATACAGGTAATTCAATTAAAGATGACCATCACTGCCACCTTGTGGTCACTTCCGTATTTGTATTTGTTTTTTAAGAGCCCCAGTAACAGTAAATGTAGGGTAAAGGCTTACAGATCTGCTGTGCTGTGTCATATTGAATTTAAGATATAAGCCCTGAGCAGATTAAACAACGGGTGGGGAGCTGACTATGCTTAAAGCTTATGTAATGCTGCTTATGTAATTGTGAGAAACGACCAGAACTCGCCTGCCACTATTAATAGCCACACTCAAACAAATAATTATTTATTTGTACTGATATGGTACAATAGGAGTCTATGTTTAACATTGCGTTGATGGAGTTTGTTTTTATCTGGCTGTTATATTTTAGCCCAATGACTTATGTAATGTATTAATAATTACATTTAAAGCATTGTGATGCAGTGAAGTGGAATCTAATTCAATGTGACACCAAATGATTTACAATGCAAATACATTGTTTGTTCCCACACCTTTGGCATAACAGTAAAACTATTGTTGTATGGGGATATAGTGTAAACAGTATCAGCTGAGTGAAACTGAGAACAAGACAGTTGGCCTGCAAATGACAGCTGAAATTGTATCTGCTTCTTGTAGATTACAACAAATAGTGGTAATATGTGGATCTCATCTCAGTTTTGCCATGTTATTTGCATATGGAGTGGTAAAATGGGATTTAGCATATGGGATTTGTAATGATTTAATATAACAGTGTAGTGTTCGTATCTTGTACAACAAAAAATAAAAAAATATTAATAAAACATACTGTGTGGGTCTTTAAAAAAAACATATTTAATGATTTATTTTAAACGTTTTAAATCAGATACTATTTAAATATAGATCTTATTTTAAAAACTACTACCATACTACACTAGTTTTACATTTTTAAATAATATATTTTCATTGTTATGCCGATGACATCCAATTGTATATTTCCTTTAGTCCTGATAGACTAGACAAACTGTCCCTTTTGCAAATTGTTTAGTCTCCAATAACAAATGGATGGCAGACAATTTTTTTACTTTTACTTACTTAACTGCTACAAATTTATATGGTAGAAAAAGTAATAGTAGTATTCTAGTATGCTATTCCGAATTCTGTTTTACAGTCATTTACACTCTTATTTTTCACTAAATAAATAACCCACTGGCAGAGAGCCGCTCCAAACTGACGCAATTTTAAGATCATAGACTATAGCCTGTATCAGCGGTAGTCAATTAATGGCAGACAATTTTTTTACTTTTACTTACTTAACTGCTACAAATTTATATGGTAGAAAAAGTAATAGTAGTATTCTAGTATGCTATTCCAATTCTGTTTTACAGTCATTTACACTCTTATTTTTCACTAAATAAATAACCCACTGGCAGAGAGCCGCTCCAAACTGACGCAATTTTAAGATCATAGACTATAGCCTGTATCAGCGGTAGTCAATTAATTCAGTTTTATATTGTTTATATATATTTGTGATAAAAACTCATTAAAAGTGTCCAGCAGACATAGAACTACTCTCTGTGCAGAGGTTTTTAGTTTGACATGAATTTATCTAAATGTAGCCGTCACGTTTATTAGGAAACACTGATGACTAGTTGACTTCTTGATGATGCCGTCACACGTCGATGACAATATACCAAACACATTTGGGCAAGACGGTGGAATGTTGCACAATCGGTTAGTGTACCGCCGTGACGCGGGGTCCCGTAAGTTTCAGTCTTTAAAACTAATACGCAGCAAACGAACTGTGCCACGCTGTGCTTTCACACCCACTCGCTCTGCTCACTCCGCCCAGGAACCGTGAGGTTATAGAAGGAAGCGCTGAGACATCAGCGAGAAGGATCGCTTGTGTGCCAGCTGATCAGAAGTGAAGATGGCTGAGGGAAAACTAGGTGCCAACATTGGAGGCAACATTGGCGCGGGAGCTGGCATCCTGGCCAAACGCTTTCAGAAATCAATGAACCGAGCACAAGAGAAGGTAGGTGGGGTTTGTTTTTTGTTTTAGTTTTTTGGGGGAGTTCAGGTCCTTGGCTCTCATGTAATGCTGCTCTGGGTGTGTATTTTGTGTGTGGGTATCCAACATATTTGCTCCAAAATGTTTAGAGGCCTAAAGAAACTGGTACAAATGTTCACAAGATATGTAAATATAGTGTCGGTTGTCATAGCTGTTTCAAATGAAATTGTGTGAACACAAAGACTACCACTTCCTGCCCTCAATCACTTCCTCCCTAGGCTCACCTCCTCTTCTAGAGTTTACTCTATAGTAGACTGCACACTTTCATAGTGTTTCTTAAGTTAAAACACCAATTTTCTTACATTTTGGTACTTTTATGTTTGCTAAATACTTCCTTTGAACATTTCTGATCTTTCCTCATCGCAAGGAACAATCGCTGCAACTGATATTTCAAGAATAAACGTGGAACCGCTTGGCGAGTCGTATTTCAGTGGCCATATACAGTGACAACTCTTGTTCCTCTGCCTGATATCGTGTCTGGCAGTTCTTGTCAGAAATGATTGACCAGTAGTGGGTCTTCTCAGTGTGATTGTGTTTGTAGGTCCTGCAGAAGCTGGGGAAAACCATGGAGACAAAAGATGAGCAGTTTGAGGAGTGCTCTGCCAACTTGAACAAACAGCAGGTACTTCAACAGTATATGTCTGAGAGAACGACAAGCATGCACCCACACATGGGCTGTAGGTTACAGTAGATTTTGTTACCTCAAGCAAGTCACAGACTGTCACTCAATATTGGACACTGCTGTTTTTTAAGGGGACTGCATTGGATGAGTTGTGTTGTATGAACATGGACAGAATCATCATTGAAAGTAGCACAGGAAACTCCACCTTTAGAAAATGTCAATATGTGACTTGCTGTACAGTAGCAGAGACTGACCTTTTCTGCCTCTTTTCTGTACTGTTTATACTGTCAGCCAACCCAGGAAGCCCTTTTAAAATGCTGTTTTTGATTAGTACCACATTTCATTATGAACACTAACAAACTTTATCATATTAGACTAGCGTTGACCTAGTTTCTCACTTATCAACTTTATATCCTATTCCATGTCCTGGATGCATCGTACCACTGAGAATATATTGTATTTGTTTAATGATGGTAGATAGTTTTACACTCTATAGATGCAATCAAATCAACATAATGATTTAAGACATTTCTTCTTTTAACCATAAATTTAAAAAAACTTTTTGCAAAATATTGAATGTTTTTAGATTAAAAAAAACAACAACAACCTACAACAGCTTTAAAGACTCTCATTAGCAATATCTATGGCTTCCGAAAGTACAAAAAAAATGTAAAGGAAGTAATTTCCTCAACACCTACACATTTTCTATTTTGATTATGAAAATTTTCCATTTCCCAAAAGCTGC